CTTTGCCAAGTATATATACACAAGAAGAAAAATAAAAGCAATTTACAAGTAAGGTGGTATAATTAGAATTTTCTGTAGGAATTCAGAAAATGGAAACACTTTATTACAAAGTCTATTTAAATCTAAATTGGCTTCATTCTCAATTTTGAGTTGGATCTTACTTTCGTATACATCTTACTCTCATAGTTGAGTCTCAAGTCAGACTTGTGGGCATTCTGTCAGTCAGATTTACTCTTCAAACAACCATTCTTCTTCACCAACAGTGTCTACTGTGTGTCCTTGATTCTGGGTATTTTTATTATGTAGAGATTCCTCACTAACTTGTCATATAAATCTCTCCCTTTTCTTTCCATGAATAAAATAATTTTTCTTCTTGGGGTCTTCAAAGTTTATGAATTCAGGCATATGTAAAGGCAAGTGACTAGTTAATTCATCCTCAAATCCCATCTTTAAATCACACTGATAATTGTATGCTTCATCCAAGACACCACCACTGCAACTTGCAAAGCCTCTGCATCTCTTCCCCAATCTACCTTCTCTTTTCCACTGTTCTGTGTTCAGTCCAGCCCACTCTTGATCCATCAGACATCTGCACATGATAGAACATGCCTACAGACTTCTCCTTTAAGTTTCCTCCCATCTGGAACAGCTTTTTCTACTTCATCCACTGTGCTGCTCCAAATCTTGTGGGAATATGTTCTAAAATTGCTTTTCTTCTTTAATCTTCGTAATTGTACTGTTAACTCATGAATTGATGTTAAAAATATAAATAAGTCCATGAAGTTATGTATTTTTTTGTGCAAACTAAGACTTAAATATAAAAAAATCTAAGCTACTAGGATTATTTAATGTGGAGGAAAAAAGTTGAGTAGTGAATTACTAATAACATTCAAATAAGTAAGGAATTATACAATTGTTGGTAACCAGCTAATCTTTGCTACAGATTAAAAAGGAATTGTGCTCTAACATAAGTAAAATTTTTCTCAGTGAGATATAAGGGAGACCATACAAATTGTTAAATAATGGGTTGGCTTTCTGAAGCTGGTTATCTTTATTGTTTCTGTAGCAGCCAAACAGTATATCAGCTCGTATGTTTCAAATTTGATATACATTCAAGCTTTGTGAAGGAAGAAGAATGTGTAGAGAGAAAGTCAAATAGACATGGACAGAAACATACAATATTGGGGAGCAAACCAGAAGGAGGAGTGGGGTGTGTTAAGACTCTTTTGATAGCTGTATTTTGTCATTAGGGCAGAGTATTTTTTTAAAAAAAGGTATTTTTTGAAGAAGAATGCTTTCTACTTTTCCATTTCTACACTTTGGAGGATAAAGTTTTTGCTATAAAAAATAAAAAGAATAATACCAAAATAAAAACAAGACTTAATATATAGTTTTAAAAGTTGTATTTGCAGAGGTTCTTTTTGGAGTTATATCTTATTTCATCATTCTAGTGGAGAGAAACCAAATTTCATAAATGTAGTCAGATCTTTTCATTTATAAATATTATCCCATCTTGTTCCAGGAAGGACTTAAATGGCAGCATTTGATTATTTCATTGGAATAATAGTTTATCAGGATCAAGACAAACTTTTTGTTAAGTGTTAATCTTGTTTCATGTGATGCCAAGCGAAAAGAAGTGAATTTTACAGAAACTTTTACGTTTCAAGAAAAGTTTGTAATTCTCCTAAAGAGACTGTATTATATAAAAATATTTGTTGTTAGCTTTTCAAACCTTTACTGTTTTTGTTAGCCTTCTTATATAAAAAGCATGGAAATCTTTTTAAATTGACATTTTATTTTTGAAGTCCATGAAAAAGTTCAAATAATCAAACAAAAAGGGGTATAGATGGAATCTGAGCTATCCTTATATGAGAAAGAGTTAACACTGAGAAAAGAACTACAAGTGCCATGGCCTTGGGAACTAAAATATAGGCTTCAAGGTAAAATTTTCTTTCTATTCAGTATGTACAGACTTTCTGCATACATATGTACAATAAATGACTTAATATAAACCTTATAGTTAATTGATGATGCCAGAATCCAGAAATGTGTTTCATGTTTAAAGAAATTAAAATCTTATAAGGGAGTATTTTATTTGTTACATTTGAAGGACTTAGAAAAGTTCAATTAACAACTATTGTTAAAAAACAAATATTTTATTTGGTTGAAGAGAAGTTTTAATTTTTAGCCAGTAACCTACATTTTCTTATAGCGGATTGATAGTAATAAATTAATTCAAAGGCAAAGTTACAACTGTCTTCAAATTAGGTCTTTGAAAAAGAAACTCTAAACATTGTCAAAGGTTAGTCAAAATGACAAGAGCATTATATTCAGAAAACTTAGAAGGGAAATTTTCCTTAAACATTTTTTAGCAGCTAAGTACCGGTATCAACTTTGGAAAAGTTTTCATGGCTTCTAAATGAAAAGCATACATGAGATAATCATACTAGTTTTCCATGTTTACATAACACTCACAAGACATATATGGAAAACTTTACCCAGAGTAATTTTATATTCCATGTCATAATTCGGTTTATTTTCCTTTGAAAGGATAAAACATCTATTAGTAAGAATCAGATTAATGCAAATATTTCAAAACCAGAAGATTATTACTATAATTTTTAGTTCCTATAACCTGTTTATATGAAGAACATCATGATAATGTAAAATATCACAATTATTTGAAGAATATAAGTTTTTAAAAGTTAAAATAGAAAGCAGCAGTCATAGAAATAAAGAGAATTGCAAAAAGGCATATTAAATGTCTGCCCTTCAAACCTAACTATCCAGAAGCAAGCTACTTACCTATAATAGAATGGAATAAATGTCGAAGCAAGCTACTTACCTATAATAGATAGAATGGAATAAATGTCTTTAAAAATGCAAATATTTTCAGTATTTGAAGGATAGCCATTTCAATAAATAACAGTACTCTGATAACCAGGCTCCAATAGGACAAGTCATGGTAACTTCTCTTTTGTATTGTAAGATTGTTCTAAAAGGCAATTTTTACATCCTATCATTCCAAAGAGGTTTAGGCTTTTTTTTTTTTTTCTTCCTCACATTTAGGATGATTTCTGGATATTTAGTATAGGGCATCACACCGGTGCAGTCTTGCAGTGCAACCCAAGGCAGCTGCAGCAAGTATTTCTCACTAGTAATGTAAGGAGCTAGGAGGGAACAAGGCTTGAGGAAACAATCTAGAAAGCCATAATACAGATTGTTGGTCCTTTACCCACAAATAACCTTTTTAGACCAGATACATAAAATGCAATTTATTATCTAAAATTTTAAAGGAGAATCTTTTGTTAAATGTTAACAAAGAACGACTATCCTAAGTCCTTTTAAAATGAAATCCTTAAAAAAAATCAACTATCAAGTCTTTTTGAAAAGTGCTTAAATCATCTGGAGATAAATATCACTTGGTGTCCTTGTTTTCTAACAAACTGCTTTTTCCATTGTTTCCATTAATTTCACCCATATTCGTTTTTTAAAAAACAAGGCCCTTACCCTCATCAGCAAAACACAGATGTATGATTTAGCATATAAAACCGGTAATTACGTACTAATTTACGAAAGATTAATTTTTTCTCTTTTCGTCAGTTTTCAAGAAGTCTTCCCGTGATTAACTGTAAACAAGAATGGTTTACACCTCAAATTAGAAGCCATTAATTAGCATGACGAAGTCAACTGTAAGATACACAAATAATTTAAATTATTTAATCACTAATCACCTTGGCTAAACTGTAGTATACTCTTTCAATATCCCTCGGTGGGTTATTGATCTGTCAGTAAATTACCTCCAGCTCAGTTAGAGATAAATATTAGCGTTCTTTCCTTTCTCTCAGGTTTACATTATTCCTTCTTGTAAACACTTAAAAAAGCTTTAAGGTTCTTTAATCCCAAATCCCTAATTAGCCATCACTAGCCTTTTTGTAACCAGGAAAAAGAGTATCTGAAGTACAGATCAGGAGTTCGCTTTGCCCGTACAACAATAAAAAAACATCTTTAAATGTAAAATGCTTAAGGCAATGGCAATAATAAAAGATATATGCAGAGGTGGCTTCAGCAAATAACGGGCTTGCAAACGCCAAGTGCTTAACAAAAAGAGCCGAACCTCTATTGCAATATACGGCACTCCAATAAATTACACAACACTTTGCATAGGCTGCAGAAATAACGCAGGACAAGACTTACACAGATGCCAATCCGCAGCATTTATACACATGCACATGGCAAGAGACAGAAACCAAACACTATCATTCAACTCGGGCCGGGTAGCGCGATCCCGAGTTTTCCCGGCGCGAGAGGGCTCTCTGCGTGTGTGTCTGTGTGCGCGCGTGTGAGTGAGACCCATCCTCGGGGCATTTCCCCTCTTTGGGCAGTTTTGCTTCATTTGTTTCCCATTTCTGCTACATAGAAACTAACTTCCATCTCAGCTCCAGCCAGCGCCGCTGAATAGAGCCTGTGCTGCGGCTTCGTGTGCGTCAGATCCCTCCGCGGAGCCGTCCCCGGCCCCCTCCCTCCCGCGGTCGGCCTCCACAGAGAAAGCGCCTTTCAGCCAACCGGCGGCTCCGGCTCCGACATCTTCTCCGACTGGAAATAAATAAATAAATCGCACCTTTGGCCGGGGAGGAGGGGGCAGGGGTCTCGCCACACTGGGTGTGGGGGCCCTGGGGCGCGGGGTCGAAGGCACTCCTTTTTTGCGCCGGGGGGCGGGGGCGCGGGCCGAGGACAGGGCCAAGCCCGGGCCGCGAAGGCGGTGGACTCCTTTCTGCGGCGGAGGGATCCGCGGCGGAGGCGGCGGCGGCCGTAGCCGCTGCCTGAGAGTTGTTGTTTCCTCCTCCTCCTCCTCCGCCTCCGCCGCCGTTGCTTGAATGGTGGAGCCGAGGCTGGGCTCGTGAACACACAGTGACAGCTATAGGGCAGGCGGCGGCACCATCCCCGCTTCCCCTCGGCGGCGGGGTGTCCCGCCGGCGGCCCTGAAGTGACCCATAAACATGTCTTGTGAGAGGAAAGGCCTCTCGGAGCTGCGATCGGGTAAGTCGGGGGGCTGCTGGGGCCGCTGGCACCGGGCGATTCCGCCCGCGGTCCCCCGCCCCCCGCCGCCCGGCCGCTAAGCCTGTGTGTCTCCCCGTCCCCCTCTCCCGCGCAGAGCTCTACTTCCTCATCGCCCGGTTCCTGGAAGATGGACCCTGTCAGCAGGCGGCTCAGGTACGGCGGCGCGCGGCGCGGGCCGAGCCGGCGCTCGCCGCTCGCGGGCGTGGGGGAGGGCGGCGGCGGCGGCGGCGGCGGGG